TTGTGAGAGCTGAGTGTGGTGGCACATACCTGTAATCCCATCACTTTGGAGGCTGAGACAGGAGGAACAGTGAGTTTGAGGCCAGTTCAGGCTACACAGAAGGGGAAGGAGGAGAAAGAGGAAGAGGCTAGTCTGGATTATATAGAAGATCCTGTCTCAGAAAATAAATAAATTTATGTGTGTGTGTGTGTGTGTGTGTGTGTGTGTGTGTGTACATTTTTTGGGGGTGGGAAAGCTTTTTCTGACAGCCATGAATATTGATGATTGATTGGTTGTTTTTATTTTCTTTAAGACTGCCTCTTATTTTGGGTGGAGTCAAACTGAGAATAAAGGGCCTTTCCTGAGGAATAATATACCCAGAAAAGGATCCCTTCTTCTTTATGCCAGAAAAACCTAGCACTCATTGGACTTGGGAATTGTTACCTAGCCTGTATTGTTTGTGTTGTTCTAACCTGAAAATGATAACATAGAATGCAACCAGTGGCACACAGCTTTTTATCGTGGGTGATGCAGCTTTAATTGGTACGCAGAGGGCATGCCTGTGGGATTAGTCCCCAGTACCTTGGCCAATCACATCCCTTTCAGCATTTCTCAATGGTTAGTTTCATCTTGTAATTAAGTAACAATGATCATTTCCTGACAGCTAATGACTGGCTAGAGGAGGTAGAAGCGTCATTAGGTTTATAATTTATCAAACTCTCAGCTCTTCATCTGCAGTGCTACAAAAAGAGAAAGCATCCTCCAACTACAACTTCAAATGAGGAAGGACAATCTCTAAACATGTAGATACGAGTGTTAACTAGCTCTTCAAAAGCTGACTTTATTTCCCAAGTTAAAAAGAAAACTGTATTACTCAGCATGAGCAGGAAATATGTTCATCTGAATGAGAGAGAGAGAGATGTAGCAAGACGTATTACCACGCTTACACATACTATAAACAAAAGTGGACCTGGCAGTCCATGCTTCCCATGAGAACCTTTGTATGGCAATTTTGCACCCTTTCTTCAAGCAGGCTCAACTATCTATGAATTCCAAGAAGTAGCATCCATGTGCTGCCCCATAGATATTTGCTAAGCACCTACTATGTGTCAGGATTATTCTAAATACCGAAAATGAAACTCTATTCTTTCTGAGTTTGTTGTCCAACCTTAATTTCTGCTTCCAAATCTACCCTAGAAGACTGCAATTAGATGTGTTCAGAGAGCCACACTGAAAGCAAGTGGCCCTCTCTGCGGCCTTGTAGTTGTACCACTTCCCCTCCTGTGGCTGTGCCACGGCAGCACCTGCTTCTGCCCCCCTAAGGTTCTCTCAAGGATCAACCCCATTTTGGGGATTACAAGCTTCCCTTTAGAGAGAGAAGGTGAAATCTCTTCTCCTAGGGACCCCACGCTTTTTAATCTTCATTTTGGGACCTGGGTTACAAAAGGAATAGTGGGTTCTCATCCCGTGATGAACACTCATTTCTGTGGCATAATACAGAGACAGCCTGGCCTGTCACTAGGCTTTGGAATTCTACAAATGGATTTAGGCAGTGGTGACTTCAAAGAAAGGAACACTATCTTTTCACAGGTGAGCTCTTGGCTTACCCCAAGGTCACTGTTGGGAAGCCCTCAGAGCTCTTTTCCCTCTGAATTCCTGTGACTTTCCTGAAGCTGGGTCCCCTCAAGTGTTCAAAAAAACTCCTGTGGTGGCTCCGCCAGCACATAGGCCTCTCAGATACGCAGTGCCTTGGGTCATCAGGGCTGGTGAGAGCCAATGCACATCTCCAAAGAAGCTGCTGGCATTTGGCTTCTGCTATCAGATCCATCTTGAGATGTTGTAGGACCTGGTGACTCTTGTGGAACTGTTGGAGACCTTCACAACCAAGAACTGGGGATACTTTCTTCTCATGCTGCCAAATTGAGTCCTCTCAAATGGTTCCAAGAATACTCTGTAGAGGCTGAGTACTTCGCTCTTAACATAGTTTGTAAATGAGCAGAATGTGTAATTGGAAGTGCCTCCTCCCTTACTAAAAGCTTGTTTTCTTTTATGGGAAATCTAAAATTTGAAGACATTCTTCACTACTTTGGTTGAAGCATCATATGACATATATTTGAAGATGCACTCAGCTATTTTAAAATCTTTTGATCACAACACAGAAGTAAGTACCTGTTTAATAAGTACCCCTAGAGCTGAATGAGGTGGCAGAGACCTGTAATCACTTGGGAGGCTAAGGTAGGTGGATCACTGCAAGTTCAAGACCAGCCTGAGCTATATAGTGAGAACCTGTTTCAAAAAACAAAAATAAAAGCAAAAAAAGAAAAATAAGTACCCCAACTATCCCTACTTTTTAATCAAATCCTCAACTACTAGGAACCCAAGAGGAAATAGGTTGGTGATTGTTTGATGGACATTCTGCATGGTCACTTTCACATAAAGTGTAATAGGGTCTCTGAACGCCTTCCTTTTGCCCTAAAACTACTACTGCCATTTATTTAAAATCTCAATTTCTAATGTGCACAGCAGTCCCATCAGCTTATAATTGCCCCCAAAACAATGGTCTTTGAATTAATTCTTTGATGAGAGAAAAGTCATTTTAGGTAATCATGGAGTTTCTACCTAGAGGAAACCATCCCGGTACTTCTGTGAAGAGGTGCGGGACATCCTGGGGGATCAGCCGGTAGCGTGTGAGCCCTGGTCATGGGGATGCAGTTGGCAGCTGCTGTGGTCCCATTGTCCTTCCAGATCTGATGAGAGTGTGCATTTAGGGGATGAGGTCTGGCCTGCTCATGTAGTCAGGAGTGGACCAGTGAGAGAGGAAGAAGGAGTCGGTCAGAAGTGTTACTATGTTTAGAGGAAGGAAAGGACTCTTTAAACAAGGAGATTCTTCTGAATAATGCCATCTCTTTTTCTCTCTCTTTTTTTTCCTGTGTAAAATCCAGTGTATCTTTGATAGGTTTTGGAGGAGCAGCTTGTGCTTGGGTCCTTTGGAGCTAGTAGTTAACTCAGAATCTCAGCTTTGCTAGGCAATGAGAGACTTGCTGAAGGAGAAACAAACTATATTGGTAGCAGATTCTACCTAGAGTGACTAATCTATGTGCTCGAAGGATGACGTCAAGCTTTGGAAGTTGCCAGAATGTCTTTGGTCAAAACTTTTCAGTGGCTCATGTTGGGGAAACACCCTCATCACTAGGCCTAGGGATTAGAGATGGAAGCCCAGACTCAGTCTGGCGGAATCTGAAGCTGGGAGGTTTCCCGGAAAGGGAGTATGTGAGAAATGGAATTCCACGCCTCTCCTCAAGTGGCTTTGCCTCCCGGGCAGGAAGGCAGGTCGGCCAGATGTCATGGCTCTGAATCTGTGCCATGAGTGGTACCTGGACAATTTGGGGGACAGGTTACACAGCCCAATTGGCATTGAGATAGAAAGGGGGGCACTGGACACCAGGAGGACATCTATGGGAGCAGTGAAAGGAGAGCTTGAGCCATACATACTAGGTGAGTCAAAAGAGCTCTGCTTTGGTCATTCTGACTTTATTTATCTATTCATGTATTTATTTTTGAGGCAAGGTCTTTATTTTGTCCAGAGCTCTCAAACTGGTGATCCTCTCATCTCAGACTCCCAAGTGTCTGGGTTACAGTTGGTGCACCATGACACCTGATTTTAAAAATATGCAGCTAATCCAGAAATGAATTGGCTAATGTATATTTACATTTACAAGAGATGTTAGGTTGGCTGCTTGGTTGGTTGGTATTTTTTTCCAGTACATTTCTTACCTTTTTACTTCAATCACAGATGTTAAAATAAAAAAATATTTTAGTCAAAAATCTGCTTTTCAAAGGATCCATTGAAGGTTAGTTTTCTAGTATGCAGTAGGGCCAGGTTGACTTTAAATGGCACGGTCTATCTGTGAAAACTATCCCTCCTCATTTTCTTCCAAATTTGCATCTGCAAAGCTCTACAGTGGCCTTCAAGAACAAGGTGATATAGCTAATTCTTTTTTTTAAAGCAAAATCAAGAGCAAGAAATGATTCTTTCTTGCTTAGAAATAAATGTTCGCTTCTAATCTGCACAGCTTCTTTGCAATCTGACCCTAGGGAATGAGCCCTCCATGAATCAGATCAGGAAAGAGGTTTGTGGCCCGGGATGGTGGTGCACACGTGTAATCCCAGCAATCCAGAGGCTGAGGCAGGAGGATCACTTGGAGTTTGAGACCAGCCTAGCTACACAGTGAGTTCAAGGCCAGCCTGTACTATATAGTGAAACTCCATCTTGAAACAAAGAGAGAGGTTTGTTTACTACTTCTGAATACTAAAGCTTTTGGCAACCATTCAAGTGCCTTGAGCTTTGGGGATGGAGGAACATTTGGTCCTGGACCTGTAGCCCCTGGCATGTGTAGACACTGAAGTGGGCCTTGGGGAAGACAGAATCACCACTGTCCACATATGTTTGGAAGTCAGTGCTGTTTACCTTGGAGATGTCACAGAAACCCCCTGAACTGCTCCCACCTTTGGCTGGCAGTCCTTAGCAGATAGCTGTTTTCAAGGGGACATTATTCTAAAGGACTCCAAAGGAACACTTGCTAGGTCCTTTCCCAGGGACCTATACATGTATATGTGACTGCCTCGCACTTTGCTTCCAGGAAGAATCCTGCTATCACAAAGCCCACCAAAAATGAACTTTTCTCAGTGGAAGAGCGAGTCTCCTGCTGGCCATTTCCCCGGTCCCAGCTTCTTCCCTTTCGTGCCTGCAGCAGGGCCTCTCACTGCAAGTTGATGATGAGGCAGGGTGGCTGGGAGGTGCTGCTACCTGGGGGAGTTCTGTTGTTTTTATAGCCAGTGCCAGCTGAGTGCATGGTGAGTAAGAGCTCTTCCTCTTCCCTCTGGGCTGTGCTCGTCTCCACACCAGTCTCGCTACTGACCGCCTTGGACATGGTGGTGAGCAAGGGTGGCTGCCTGGCTCTGATGTTTCCCAGGTTTGGGACCCAGAACTCAAGAAGACAACGAAATTCGTAAGTGAGAGCTGTATGGGCTGTGGTTTTTTTCTGGTAATTGCACTTGCATGAGGGTTTCTGGGGAGAAACAAATGTGAAATTGGCATTCATTCATCTTACTTCTCCTAGCAGGTAACTAGAAAGTGCTCGGTACCACAGGTCAAGTTAGGTGCACTCTGCATCCACCTTTGGGCTGATTTTTGCTTAATCCCCTTTTTCTCTGAAGGACCCTTACTTCTTAAAGCTTTTCTATTTTAATCAGAAATAACACCTCCTTGTTTGTTCTTAGGGTTGAACATTACAACAAAAGAGTAATCATGGCTAGCCATACTTTATTGGGGGTGATTTGCTATTTCCTACTCTGCTTATAGAACCCGTGTTTTGCCTTATGGAAGCTCTTTTCAGTTACGTGACTAACATTTTTTGTCAGCTGACAGGTTATTACAAGGAAATTTAAAGGGAGGTTTTCTCCAAGAGAGCTCAAAGGGTTTGTTTTGTGTGTCACGTAGGGAAAAATAATTCATGGGCATCTTGAGTTTTGAGTGTGAGGATTTCTTGTAGCTGAAATCTATACAGTTTTCTGCATTTTTAAGTATAAAGATCAGTGTCTCCACTGGTAACATGATTCTTTTCAAACTGGTAGTTAAATTGGCTCCAGCTCTTTCCCCAACCCTCTCCTGCATCAGCAGTACTTCTCTGAACCAGGTGCTCCGTGCTCACCTGCAGGCGGTGTTTGATTCACAGCCAGCTGCAGCCCCGTATTTTTATCTGTGCCAACCCCATGCTAAATATGGGAGTCTGTGCTTGAGAAGACAAGTCATGCACATTACGCAGCCTTTTCCTTGGAGGGAATGTGCCAAAATCACAGAAGCAGGAAAGCCAGAGGTTTGGCATGAGGAAGCATAAACTCAGAGTTTCACCTCGTTGTATTCCTGTGTTCTTAGGAGTATCATCCTTCCCAGCTATGAGCTTGCTGTGTCTCTGGTCAGCATCTTGGCCGTTCCACAAATGGAAAATTGGAGTTACTATGGCACATGCTACTCAGCCTGAAGCCAGTGGTCTAGCAAGAACTAGCCAGCTGCCCCAACTTTTCTCTAGCCCTCTGCTGCTTGAGAAATAATTACAGCTCTAAACAGGAGAGCAGGAGGCTAAGGCACACTGCCCATTGTTGTCTGAAAGCAGCATGCATTGAATTACCATTAGGAGGCCAGGAGAAACCAGCCAGTAGGTCAAAGTGGGGTGGGATGGCACATAGACATATAGGTGGACAAAGAGAACATTAGAAATGAGGAAAATGGAGAGCCTGAAATGTAGGAAATACGCTCAACTATCCTTTGAACCCAGGCTGATATTTGTTTCAACAGGCTGAAATATGCTAGATAATATTTGTTATACGGAATGTACAGTGTGTACTCCAGTGGGAAAGGGTAATCAAAGTAAAGGTAAAGCATAAATTTAAATCATTGGTTTGGTGTTATTTGTTAAGAATCTCTCATGAGCCAGGGCCTCTAATATTTATCTTTGTATCCCTATTGCCTGTCGTCTACATGGACAGGACAGAGGGACTGATATCTGTGGGATTTTATTTTAGAGTCTCCCCATCTTCTCTGTACTCTCTCTCCCTTGGGCCAGGACAGTCTCACCCTTCCCTGAACCACCCACTCACAGGAAGGAGAATTTCCTTAATGAAGGCGAGTAAACATGGACCTGAGTGCCCACAGGGACAACGCCTTTATGTACTTTTACCCAGATTGAATCAGGGAAAACTACCTGGGAAGAAGGCACACCCTCCCCAGTCCAGTGGAATGACATTTGCATGGCACAGGCTTCACCCAGCCAAACCAGCACACAGGTGTAGAATCTGTGGTGGGCAGTTGGACAGATGTGCCTCCCTGTCTCCAGAGCTCCACCGTCCTTCACTCCTTGTCCCTTGCTGCTTCCTAGGACTCCAGCTTCATCTCAGGTGAAAGCAGCAGGAAGATACATCAAACACCATTATTTATTGAATGGCATTGGACTCAAACCAAAATACAGAATTAGATTACTATACCTGACCAGTCGGTTCACATTTTAAACAAATAAATAGGCAGATAGAGGTGAATTAACTACAAAGGAAGGTGGAAATATACTCCAGGGAGAGGCCAGTGCTGGGGAGGGAAAACCGGTCAGAGCTGGTCATTTTGAGAACCTAAGTAGGACAGGATGTTAAACTATTTCAGATCCGGCTCTGTGTTTTTGATCAGCCAGACGAAGGGCAGATTTGGTTGGGAGAACGAAAGATGAGCCACACACTTGGTGTCTGAAATGTTGAATAATTCTTTGTGATTATTTCCACCTTTTGGCAGTGGGGTGTGCTTTGTATGTGTCACGTGGCTGGCCATGATCTAGCAATTACTTTCTTACTTTCTGTTTCTTCTGGTAGACTGTGTAAGCTCATTGAGGGCGAGGACTTTACCTGCTTCATCTCTAGGTCCCTAAAGCCTAGTCACTGATGTTAAATTTATGTGTGATACCCCAACCTTCACTCCCAGTGCCACAGAACAGGGCAAGGGTGACTACAATTAACTCTCCATGAGAACTAGGGTCAGGATGTGAGATTCTGTGAGAATTTGAAATACACATAACTGTGGGTTTGAGCTTGTGTGTGTGTGTGTGTGTGTGTGTGTGTGTGTGTGTGTGTGTGTATGCTTGTATCAGTGTTCCCAGGAATCAAAGCCAGGGCGTTGCGTATGCAAGGCTTTACCCCGATCCACACCCACACAATCCCCAGGTAGCAGCTTTCTTAGCTCTAGGACTACTCCACTGGGATTTGAGAAGATGGGATGAGTAGTGACAGTAGCCAGTTGCTGGAGGCAAAGATCTAGAACAGGGAACATTCCTGTAGGGGACAGTCTGTGACCAGCGTGGCTGAAACAGGAGACTGATGTTGAAAGTCCTGCATCACATATGAGGCCAGCGTGGGAAGGGACAAACAACGATGCTTGAAATTAAAACTTTTAGTAATGGGAAACCACTGAAGCAATTTAAACCAAGCCTCAGAGATAAAAGGAAAACTCAAAGGAGTTGAACTCAGTAGTGCCAGACAAGACAGGCCAGAGCAGGTGGTGCTAGAGGCAAGGGTCCTGAAAAGCCATGTACAGCAACCATCCACAAACCATGGGATGAAGTTACACGGGGAAATGGGTTTCAAGATTCTGGGGTATTTGGGTGGGTGGGAAAGCTTGAGATAAATGTATCATTTGTATCCAGCATGTTCTCTCCAAATGAGTGTTAAAAATACCACATGTAGGCATTTTACTGAGGGTTCACTAAATGCTAGTCATTGTCTAAGCATTTTACATGCAGCATATCAATGCATCCTTTTGAAGTAGTACTATTAGTTCCATTTGGCAGATAAATCAACCAAGGCACAGAGAGATTAAATAATTTGCTCAAGCTTAGGCAGTTAATAAAATGCAGAGTCAGGATTCAAACAGGATGGAAGGCCGCACAGGTCCAAGGCTTAACCACAAGTACCCACTTCAATAAGTTTGTGGGAGGATTTGTGGTGTGATGAGAGAGATTCGAAAAAGCAGTGTGTGTGATCATCATTTTGAAAGGCGATCAGAGAGCCCTTTCCTGTATCAGTTTAAGGAGATCAGTGCACTGTAACATTTGTAGTAAGATAATATGCTTTTTCTTTTGTGTCCTAAACATTAATCTTTTCATTTACATAGGAAAAATATTCACTATAAAAATTCAAATCTTGCAGAAATTACTGCAAGATAATGTAATCATACTGGACCCCAAAATCATTATCCATCGCTGAATGTAAATTCTTCCAGCTCTCTCTCTCTGTCTCTCTTTTTATTATTATTTATGTTAATATTAATCTTTTTTCCCAAGGTTGATGAAACTGTTTTGTAACTGCTTTTTCATTTAATAAATGAGACATTGACCATGTCTGTATGTTATTTTATTCACTTTAGGGTTCATGTTCTTTTCCAATCAGCAGAGCAGAGACAGATGTGACCTAGATTCTCACCTCAAGGCCACTTTTGTTCCTTTTGCACCTTTGACAGGACTCAAGGCAAAGCAAGCTCAAATGGGACTCGGTTTTCTGTTTCTGTGAAAATAACAAAAGCTAGCATTTAGCTAGTGCTTACTATAAGCCAGCAACTATTCCTCGCCCCATTTTACTGATGAGAAAACCAATACCCAGAGTGGTTAAGTAATTTTCTCATATAGCTGAAAATTAGAAAGTCAGAACCTGAACCCTTGCTCTGTGTCTCCAAACCCTGTATATTTAGCAGCACGTGGTCTCTGTATCACTTTTACAAGTCTTTTATTCGAGCTAATTAAAATGCAGGGGTTTCCATAGCAACCTGTGGATCAATGGTAGAGTAAAAGTTGGTCAATAAAGCTCTACTACTTCTCTAGCAACTGAAAGGGGATTTGTGTGCCCCTTCCTTTCTGCGATTGTCTTCTGTGGCCCCTGCACTGTAGCCATAAGTGGGCCTGCACTTTGACTTACTGCCCCTCAGTGTCCCCAGGGGAGGCCTCTTGTACTTGACCCTTATTTAGTATCTTTACCGCTGTAGAGACCTTGAATGGAGAGTTGCCCAACATTCCCTGGCAGATGAGCACAGAAGGGCTATGTCTATCTAGCCCGCAAAACCCACACTGATTTCCAAAGAGCCTCCTTAAGTAGATAAGCATAGATAAGAAATCTCAGTGTAGCAACTTTAAAAGGATCTTCTTCTTCTTCTTGTTATCGTTTTCTGTTTTGTTTTTTGTCAAACTGAACCAGATTGGCTTAATCTAAAGTCTCTTTCAATAGAATACTGTGACTTTCTCCTTAGCTCTGTGCTAGGGTAGCTGCGTAAAGCTATCCAAGATCAACTCCCACATCAATGGAGCCTAGAAGACATCAACATTTGAATGACTTGTTGGTAACAAATTTTATTGTGTCAAATTATTTCTCCTTAAATAGAAAACACTTTTTCTATATTCTCAACATACTGATACTGATATGTGAGTCTATTCCTTACGAATTCTTTAGGTCTCTGGCTGTGGACCTGAAAATTACACCCTCTAAATATGTAGTTGATTTTCTGGCAACCAGGCTCCCTTCTCACCTCATTAGCATAGACTGAGGAAATTGAAAGCTCCCCCCACATTGGTCATTGGGGTCAGGGCCTTGTGCATGCTAGGCAAGTGCTCTGCCACTGAGCTATATGCCCAGGCCTTTTTATTTTATTTTGAGATAGAATATCACTAAGTTTCCTAGACTGTCTTAACAATTTGTTGTCTTTTGGCCTTAGCCTTCTGAGTAGCTGAGATTGCAGAATATAGACAGCAAAATGGGCTTTTAAAAAATAAATATAGCTGGGGTTGGCTCAGTGACAAAGTGCTTGTCTGGCAGGTACAAGGTCATGAGTTCAATCCCCGGTACAAACAAAAACACACACACACACACACACACACACACACACACACACACACACACATACACACAATGCTTCTCTCACCTCATCATTTAGGAAAATTCCTAAGGTTTTAGAAATTCTGTTTCAAGCATCTGGAGATGAAGACTGAGTATATCTCATTTATACATCTCATTTATACCATGATACATCTCATTTATACCATGATGTCACCCTCCTGAAGGTGTGTGTTGTCATAGAGCTTTAGGATTAGAAACTTTAAGAAGTTCAGTTTCTTTTTGATCTATCTTACAAGTTTTCCATGGTAGTCAAGTAGATTCCATTTTTACACTGTCAAGGAAAGTGAACTCACTAAGTACAAAAGCAGCTCTCATTTTCAGAACATGTCAATTTATAACAGTGTGCTTTATATGACCTCTGTCACCTGCTGTCCCCAAACCAAATGCAAAACTTTGGGTAGTTTCTCCACTTTACTTCTTTCCAGGCTTTCGAGCACAGCCATCACTTCTTTTCAAATTCATGTCTTTATTCTCATGTGCAGCTGTAGAATCCAGGGCTGCTGTGATTCCCCTCCTTGACTGTGTCCCAAAGTGCCTGTATCACTTTCCTTTGCCGACAGATGTAGATAAGGACAGCCAGTTCTCTGTTCTTCATGGCTTCCTTGTGTGAGATATGCTGAACTTTCAGCTTCATCTAGTTCTTTAAAAGAAGAAAAAACAAAGAGGTTTATTTTGGAACATTTGTAGGGGAAAAAAACATTGGTCAGAGTTTCTTTTGCTTCAACTAATATTACTGGAAAAATTAAACTGTGGACATAGATTTTTTATTTAGCATATTTTAGCATCCTCCTTACCTGCCTTTTATGTGTGTGTATGGGTGTGTGTGTGTGTGAGTGTGTGCGCTAGTAGTACCCACTGTTCCATCAGTCAGACAGGAATTATGTTAAAAATAATGCCATTTAACTTTTCCTGAGTAGAAGGATCCCTAATGTACCAAATGCCAGGGCTTCTTAAAAGTGAGAAGTAAAATATTGTAGAGTATTTCTTTGTGCCAGGGATTCTAAATAGCTGGCCTTTAAAGAGAAGGGCATTTTGTTACCTTTAAAAAGCTTAGTCCCTTCTTCTGCTGTCAACAGGCAGGACTTGGACACTTACTCCAGATACAATTGTAACACTAGAAGAGGGTAAAAGCAAAGTGATAGGATAGATTTACTTCAAAAAGCTTTCTTTGAGTAAAAACTGGGACTGTGTAAGATTTGATTATACCCTTAGAAATTACTTTTCTGAACAAATTGTTGCTGGGAGAAACCAGGCATCCTGGGGTTGAAACTTTGTGAAGATGGAAAAATGCATAACATGTCTTTGTATCACTTTCTAAAACCCTATGATTGGGGGGATCTGTATAGGAGAGTTTACAGATATTATTTCATATGGGAAAACCACTGTTAAGATTAACAGGGCCCATCAGCCACTGGTTAGCTGAAAGAAGACAAAATCTTTAGACAAATTTTAAATAAAGACGAACTAACTATACCAGGGAATGTACTAGATAAGAGTGACTATGTGTAATTGTACAGTAATTATGTTGAAAACGTAGTCACATGCCACCAGCTAATTACTTATGCATTTTGATGGGGGATGAATCTATCCCCACCGGCAGCCCCTTCAGATCTCAGAGACCCACACTGATACCGTGCGGGTAAGATTCTTTTTAGAAGAGTGGCCTTCTCCTGGCTAATTAAGAGATGCGACTATGAGGATATTGGAGCCAATACTCAAAGGGGAAAAAAGGAAATTGAGCCTTCTATTAAAAGGAGTTAAATGATGCCCAGAGTAGTTGGGATTAAAAAGAACAAAGTCAGTTTAAAAAAAGACTTCCTGAATCAAAGAACTGCTTCTTTCATCAAATGCTAGGAAGAAAGTAAAATGATTTTTAATGAAAAATGAGGCAGCGGAATTAGCCTTTTACCTAGATTCTGAGACTTCAAACACAGTGGGACATTTTCAATAAAGTCATTTGAGTTTTTTGGGGAGAAGTGTGCTCCATATATTTGGGATATCATTGTAAAAGAGAAACTGGTGTTTTTTTTTTTTTCAAAATTAGATTAATGATCCAGAAAAATACCAAGAGGGCAACCAAAAAATAATGTATATATAGAACAGGGGTGTGTGTGCCACAAAACGATTTAGTGCTAAAACCTAGCATTTGGATAACTTGGGTTGCACACAATGACAGTGGTCAGGTGGTTACCATGATAGTGATTATTTTGACCTTGGTAGGAAGTGTCCTCCTTTGGATGGTTCACTATAACCATCTAAGCTAGTCTATAGGAGCAGCCATGACAAAATACCACCAACTGTGTGGCTTAAGCAACACAAATCTATTTTGTCATAGTTCTTGAGGCTGTAAAGTCCAAGATCAAAGTTTCTGCAAGATTTGGTTTGTAATGAGGGCTTTCTCTGTGGCTTGCCAATGGTTGCATCTCACTGTGTCCTCCTGTGGCTTTTCCTATGTGAATTTGCTTGGAGAGAGAGAAAATGAGTTCTAGTTTCTGTCTCTGTCTCTCTGCCTCTCTATCTGTCTCTATCTCTGTCTCCGACTCTTTTCTCTGGGGTTGAACCCCAAGCCTTGTGCATGCTGAGAAACCATTCTATCACTGAGCAACACCCAGCCTTAGTGTCTCTTCTTTATAAGGACACTGGTCCTGTCTGATCAAACCTACCTTTATGACCTCACTTAAAACTTAATCACTACTATCTCCAAATACAGCCTGCCATCAGAGAAGTCGGGGCTGCAGCATATGATTTTGGGGATACAGACACTGAGTTTATAGTTTTTCCACATAAGGAAGAAGCCAGAAAAGCTTTTAGGCTTGGCAAGTGTGAGGCTTCTGGCCATACTTGCCTGTCCGTGGGGAAAGCCTTCACCACTTTGGGGGTAGTCAGGAAACCTGAGAGCAGGCTAATGCTGTGTTTTCTGTTTTTTAATTATAAATGAATTAATTGTTTAAACTAGAGAGCATAGCCATAAACTAGAGAGCATAGCGTCTTCATAACAGATTTGCTTGTATTCTCAAGATGCATTTAAAGGCAGTGTGGCCAGTGAGAAATTCTCTACTATAAACCATCCCATTTTGAACATTGGCTATCTACCTGGCAAACCAGGGTTTTGCAAAGGGAACTTTGCACTCTTCAACTTTACTACCTTTGAACTTTCACCTGAATATGATTTTCGTTTGTTTGCTTGTTCACTTTTGAGGTTGTTTTTGTTTTTGAGGCAACATCTTGCTGTGTAGTTCGGCTGGCCTTGAACTCACAGCAGTCTTCCTGTCTCAGCCTCCCTACAGGCATGTACCACCGTACCCAGCTGGATGTGGTTTTAATGGTTTCCAAATTATTTTCTGGGGTTGAAAAAGTTTTCTAACCGTAAAACTAACAAGTCACTCCTATTAAACTCAAAGTTACCTGAAGGTTTTCAGGGTATATAACCTTAGCTTGAAAATTCTAAGGTGAATGAACTGTTTTAGAATCAAATGTTCAGTTCAGCTATGAGAAAAGTATGCATGTATTTTTGTGCTGTGTGTGCTGAACCAGAGCTCATGTGTTGTGTTGGCAGTTGGTGCTGGCAGTTTAATAATTTGAGCTAGATAAAGGGAAAGGGAATCCCAAGACAAGAAAGATGATTCTCACAAATGGGAAAGACATCTGGACTGATAAGAAAACAAACTGAAAGAGGAGCTAAAGATAACCAGGAGACACTGCTCATAAATTTGCCTCGGGTTCAGACAGGGGGTCATGCAGCTGGATTACAGGCAGGGTCACTGTGGTGGTCTTGGAACCCATGTCCTGATTTGGAGCCTTAGGTGGCCTCCCTCACCACATTCCCTGTGTCCAGCCTTGAGGAGGCTGGAGGCACAGATGAGAATCATTGCCCAGTGCAGACAGGTATTGTAGGTTATACACGATTGGTGCAACTCTCAGGTGCTTGAGAAGTAGGCCAGCTGAGTCCCCTGTCTTACCTGTGCTATGTTAGATGATCTATAAAACTTACCTGGGAAGGGCTGGGGATTTAGCTCAGAGGCATAAGTGCCTGCCTGGCAAGTTTGAGGTCAGTCTCCGGTACCAAAAAACAAAAACAAAAAAAACTTTGTAACTGAAGAGTTTTAACCTGCATTTCCCTATGATCCCAGGAACAGCAAGTCTTCCTGGAAAGGCTATTCTGAGTTACAAATTCATGTAGGGTGGGAAATACATATAAGTCCTTACATATTTAAAATTCCCAACCACGGCAGTGATGGGCCATATCCATTTGCTTACCTGTGTGATCCAGGCATTGTAGCTGATTGTGCAAGGATGAGGACATGGAACATGGAATGTGTTGTAGTAAGGGGTTGTACAGAGAACAATTAGAATCAGGACATGGAGTTTATAATATTATTTTAATAATGGTCACCGGGAATTAACACCAAAAAATGCAGAAAATCTATCTGCAACACCAAAAACATAGAATATTTAGTCAAGGGCCTAAATCCCACAGCAATGTCCCACATGAGTCCAGATAAAAACTCAGAACTCATGACAGTGCCTCCCACGAGTCAAACTAGAGGACCAGAGCCCACAAGAAGGAGTCACACCAGTCTCTTTTACGGATCCGTGCCGGGAAGGCCCAAAAGTCAACGGTGGAAGCCAGAAAGTCCATGCCAGTGGGGTGAAGGAGCTTTGCTGGTGGGATGAGGGTTCTATGCTGGAGCAGAGAAATCACACTTACAACAAAGACCAGGGCTTTCCTGAAAGGCACCACAGCCATTCTCAGTGACACAGAGGCTCCGAGCTCCTCTGATGACAAGCACAGTCGGGTACATGCCAGGAAGCCAGTGTGACAAGTTCATCCTGGAGACCAAGTGGTACATGTCTTCCCCTCCAGAGCCAGGAAGTAATGATCGATGTGAGGACCAAAGCTTCTCCAGGATAGCCAACGGCTCAAACAGCAACTCATAGGAGAACCCACCATGCCTCAATGCAATAATGCATTAATGTTTCAACACCCTCCTTCTCCTTCTCCACCTATTTATGCTGGCAACTTTCCTCAGGTGGAGCATCTTCGCTCAGTGCCATGCTGATGTAATCCAGCTGGCATTAAGTTGAACATAATCCATAACAGAATGTATGTGTGTGTTGAGAGAGGAGAGGAAGGAGAAGGCCATGCACCATGTTTTACTTTTGCTTTGTTTGTTGTCTGGCTTTAAAAGTAAGACTGAACTTCCCTAGGTTCCCTAGGTCTTGATGTTATGGAATGAACCAGGGTTATGCAGGGTTGCCGAACAAACTTACATTCAATTACATGATTTATCTTTTTTTTTTTTTTTTTTGTCTTTTTCATTTTTATTGGTACCGGGTATCGAACTTACAACCACCTGCTTGCAAGGCAGGTGCTTATGTCGCTGAGCTAAATTCCTAGCCCCATACATGATTTATCTTGAGCCTGTCATTTCTGCCACTGGCACTGTGAGCATTTTGAATGAGGTGGTTTTTTGCTGTGGGGTTGTGCTGGGCACTGTGGGATGCGTAATAGCATCCCTGGTTCCTTCCCAGCAGATGTCAGAAGCATTATCTACCCCAGTTGTGAAAACTGAAGTATCTCTTCACATTGAGGATTGTCCGCTGCAAGCATAGTAGTCCCTGCTTGTGAAACACTGCCCCAGACGTGACAGGTTTGTGATGGGGTTTGCTGTTTGTAAAAAGCATAACCTGGAGAGTCAACCTTCTTGCCTTCATTTTTATTGAGCCTTTGCTGTGTGCCCTGAACGTGTGCTAGGTGATGGGAATGCATGATGTGTGCCTTAAAGAGAAGAGTCTAGTATGGGAGGAAACCTTATAAATAAATGACCCAAAAGCGTGGTGAATGCAATAAAATGAGCATGCGCAGGACTGGGAGAAAAGGATAATGCTCAAGGGTAGGCAGTGCCTGGCCCTGTTTCAGGCAGATACTGGCAGCATCAAAGAGCCTTCAAAGATGAGTGGTGGAGGAAGCGAGAACACCAAGTCATCAGAGCAGCTACAATAGGTGAAAGGAAGCCTGAGATGTGCAGAGTGTTGGGCAGAGAGTGTTACGATTCTGGAGAGATGGACAGGATGGACTGTGTGCCATTCGGAGAGCTTGGACTTTAGGAGGTAGGAGCCATCGATTGGAGAGTTTCAAGTGAGGGAGTGACATGTTCTTGTTGACACCAGTTGCTTTGGTCAGTATGCACAGTATGCATGAAAAGGTCACAGAATGGCATCATGGAAACCATGGAAGAGGCTGAGAGACAGTCAAGTCTTTGACGGTAGCAGGGGGAGATTTGAGAAATATTTCAGGGGTCAAACAGTACCTGGCCTAGTGACTCTTCTGATACAGGAAATAAAAAAAGAGTGAGGGCTCAAGACTCACCTCCTGTCCCAGGTTTGTGACCAGTGACACCCTAGCATGGGAGGCTAAACATTGGTGTGCTTTCCTATTGACTTCTTATCATCCTGACTTTGTGAATGAGAAAATGAGCTCAAAAGAGAAGGGTGATTAGCTGGAAGTCACACAGTGGTGTGAAACTGGGATTGGAGAACTGGGGCTATCTGCTTTCTAGCATGTTGTACTGTACAGTTTTGGTGGAGTATGTTGTATCTAACTGGTAGAAATGGATTTGCTTAGGGAGTAGACTTGATTACCTTTGGCTTTTAAGTTTGATGTTTTCTATTGAAAATTATACCAATATATTGACATTTCTGTATATTCTGCATGAATAGGAAAATAAATATCTTACCCATATTCCATGCAGATGTCACCCATCCAAGCTTCAGCCTTGGCCCCCTAGGGCCCCTGGCCCATCCTTTTGCTTCTGTGTTAAAATGTGCACCATGTGTCTTCAGACACAGCCAAGGAAACAGTTAAAACATGGTTAAAGGATTTGGTAATTTATATCATTGTTTTAGCCTTAACATTAAATTCTGGACTAATAAGACCTTCTGCCCAAAATTATTAAATGTGACAAAGAGCAAGAATGACGATTAAGCAGGAAAAAGGGGAAGAAAATCACTAGACTGAAAGCAGAAATTTATGGGTGTTAAGATAAACACAAAGAAATTCTTGTTACTTCTCCCTGGGTTGCTCCTTTAACCTTCTCTTCTCCAAATCTAAACTTCAAAGCTCCTAGCAAAACCAAGATACAGCAATGTAGGATTACTTGCCTAATTTACTTATATTTTGAGGAAGTGTCCCAAAAGGCCAGTTAAGCCTGTCTGACAGCAGTGACAGTTATCATCGTCAGGAAGTTAGGAATAATGACGGCCTGTGACCTATGTCAGCTCTGGAGGCCTCTCAGAACTGCCAGAAGACGTCACTGGTGTTTATCTCTAAGGATCGCCTTCCTTCTCATGGTGGTGAGAGGTGGTTCTGGATGCAGAGGGAAGATTCTCAGGCTCCAGTTACCTGTGGCGGCTTACTCTGTTTTCTCCACACAGCAATTTAAAATTCTTTCCTTTTGGTTCGGAGTGTGCTATGCTCATTTAAAGTAACCAACAGTGAGTGTCCTGGGGGTTTAGGTTCCAATTCTATGGTGCAACAGTGACATCCATTGGCCCGTGTGTTAATGATAGCAGAGCTTTCTTAGCACTGTGACTGTTGGGCTTCTTGATACAGACACAAAAGGTGACACTGATCCAGGACCAGCACATGAATGCAGCTGGTACTTGGGGCACTGCCTAGTACTTGCAGACTGGCCTGGTTCAGGACCTTTCCCAGTCATGTGTCCTCACATCAGGGCTGCCTGCGTGTGGCCTAGGGTCATTTGGGAACATCATGGGTCCTCTCTGTGGAGTCTAATATCTACCTTTGTCAGGCAGTGGGGAGGCCTTGGTTTTAACTAGGATATACTGTTGAATGCATGAGCCAGGGGAAATCATTTTACTTCTGAACCTTTTCTATACTGATAAAACGAAATTGATGGCAATGACTGCTTTGTGGTTACCAATGTTTCCATACATTGTGTAATACATTCCCTCAATCCCACAAATTGTAAAAATTAGAAAAGCACAGACCACATCTTCTTAGTATCCACCAAACTGTGAGGCTAGGAAGCTGAGAACCAAATTACAGGTTTTCAAACCACAGGCTTTGGTAACTTCTGTTCCTGCCCTCACCAGGGTTAACTATTGTTACAGAAACTCCAGCGACATATCTAAAGGAACACTGAGGTTCAGGAGATGGAATGTCTAAGGGGGCTTCTGGGAAGGGCATGAGAGCGAGAAATAAATGACCAGTGTGTCCTCAGGTAGAAAAACGTACTTGCCGGGCCCCATCCCACAGAGAACATGATTGGAAACTGCAAAGCTACAGTTTCTTATTTTTACCTACTATGAAGCATTAAGAAGGAAGGGTGAATAAGACATCTCATCCTACATCTTTGAAGACTTCTTTATTGTTAAATGAAGTACACAGAGCATGACAGGAACTGTGACTTACAATAGAGTGTTCTGTCAGTCATTCCTGCAGGATGCTATGGGCACCTCCCAGCACCCTGCTGAGTGTGCAGGCATGCATGCGTCTGTGTTAGGGTCAGAGTCATGGCTACTGCAGGCATCTTTGGATGGGAAAGCAAGTGAATATTCTCAGTTAAAACTCAAGCCAGAATATCAAACATGTCTCAGTCTCAAAACCAAATAGATGGCAAAACAGAGAAACCAGGCATATTTCACTGACACAAAAACAAAGCCAGGATTCAGTGGCAGATTGTATCATTTCATTGTAAATCTTTTCTCCTTCTTCTTCTCCTCCTTCTCCTTCTCCTTCTCCTTCTCCTTCTCCTTTTCCTTCTCCTTCTCCTTCTCCTTCTCCTTCTCCCTCTTCTTCTTTTGGAAACAGATAGAGAAACTGATTTGCAATGTGTGCAGCCAAATCCATTACTGACTCACTGGTAAAACTTTTTCAAATTATGGAATTATTCCAAACCAAAAAAAAAAAGACTCTTCTGAAACAGAATCTCATTCAGATTCCATTTCTCTTTCTCAACCAGGCATAAGCAGCACAGCTTGGTCCCAGTGCTCTGTCTTCCTGGGTTGTCTCTTTTTAATTCTTGCTGGAAATACCCAGGACCCACCCTGCAGCCCTCTCTTCCACCCTAGTGAGAGCTTCTCCACCTGAACTTACTAACCAGGAGGAGACCTGGTGCTCTACTCCTCCACACACAGGTGGAGTTTTCTAAGGAAGAAGCCAACAGCTGGCCCAGGGTGCTGTCAGGTGCATGGGCACATGGCCATGAGTTCTTTACTCTCCCTACCATCTGGCCATCTGGATGCCTTTTGAAAGAGTGGAGTCTGCATTTCAAAACATCACTCCTCATTGGTTGCTTAGATTTGGAAACACCTACTGGACAAACTGAGAAGACTATATGTAACATATAGTTGTTGGCTCTGTTTAGAATCCTAAGACAGGTACCAAAGCATAAGTCTAAGGGATCCAAAGGCACTAGTATGGGGCTATGTGAAGGAAGTAAGGAAAAATAGTTGGGGGCTAGAAATATACCTTGGTTGGTTTAATCCCCATCAGTGCAAAAAAAAAAAGAAAAGAAAAGGGATGAATTTATTTTAACTGAAGCAAATTATCCAAGTCAAACAATTTCAGCTGAACAGTTTTGGCTAAACTGAGTCCTCAAAAGGTAATACTTTGCCAGCTTGAAACCAGTGGTAGAGAGAAAGTGCTCATGGGCTCTGTCATGCTCTGGCTTCAGTGTTAAAACTCAGGGGTGTCTGCTTAGTGTGCCCCTGTGTGCCTGAAAGCCACTGGACTGGAGTCCCTGCCTTCCCCCAATATGGAATAAAAGAATTATCGATCTGATCTTGTAAGCCCCCTTGTTTTGCAAGGTGAACTCCAGAAAAGCTCACTGCAAAGTTAACAAGTCATGACTAGAATCCATGTGCTGGTCTGTGAGTAAAGCAGTGGTCATAATGGTTACAAAGCAGCCAGGGCTCCTAAAGCTTGTTTTGTTTTTTTGGCCATTTGGTTGTTTGTAAGACAGAATCTTAGTACATTGCCCAGGGTGTTCTCAAACTCTTGGGCTCAAGCAATTCTCTTGTTTCAGCCTCCCAAGTAGCTGGGATTACAGGGATACTCCATCATATTCAGCTCAAAAATTCACTTATTATTTTTTCTGGCCCTGGAGATCAAACTCAGGACCTAGTGTATTCTAGCACTTGCTGTATCTCTGGATTGTACTCCTAGCTCTGCTTGTTGTTGTCAATTGAATTTCTGGAATTTATATAAAAACTGCTGCTGTCTGTCTTAGTTCTAAGAAGTTGGGAATACCCACATTCCAAAAGGCAATGATAGGGTTGGAGGGACTCTCTGGGAAGGACAGAGGCACTTTAGGGGACCATATCCCTCCTGAATCTCTTCCTCCACTTCCTTTTTCTGGTTCTATAGGAACCTGAGTCACAATACCTGCCTCACCCCAAGCTGTAGCTTTGGGACACCTTGTCTGACTATTCAAACAATTTCTTATCTGGCCAATACATACCAAGTGTTTGGCTCTCAGCTCTTGACAGTTGGAGATAATAAGCCAGATTTTCAAAGAGAATAAGCTACTTCCTGGCATTAAGTCTGTCTTTGTTGGAAGAAAGAACACTAACTTTGTAGGACTATAGCAAGGTGCCACATGGGATTCTTGTGGCTGTCAGCATTCATGTCATTTTAAAAAACATTCCTTTTCTCCTGGGTTTGTTTACACATCAGAAAATTCTTTAAAAAAAAAAAGCTTTTGGTATCTGTGAAGTGCAAGAGTTTATTTAGAAAAGCAGTTTCTCATCTAAAGACCTTGTTAAACCATTTCTGTTAGGAAGAAACTGTATAGCTCCATGAAACATTTATAGTTGGTGATAAATGAATAATTTTGGGGGTTCATATAGTCAGAATTCATAGCTAACTGATAGTTGTGAACTCAACTATCAGTTCTTGTTGGGCATGACAAGGATCAAGGGAGCTTTAAAAAAATAATGCTAAAGTGCTAAAGAGAAGGATGGAGCACAGAATCCCCCACCCCTACCCAGGGATTACAATTCAGTTGGTTTGGAGTTGGTCCTGGTCTATGAGTTTTTTGCTTTTGTTGTTTCATTTATTGTAAAAATCATGTAATGTTACGTTTAGCATCTTAATTCACTTTAAGTGTACATTTCAGTAATGTTAAGTATGTTCATGTTGTTGTTCCTTATGAAGTGGATCTCCAGAAATTTTTCACCTTCCAAAACTGAAGTTTTCTATGTATTTAAAAACAATTCCATTTCCACTGCCCACAGACTCTGGATTTAAGGGCTTCCCAAATGAGGTCTTCAAGATTTCTTGGAAAGGTTTCTTACCACTGGGGATTTAGCTCCGTGGTGTAAGCACCTGATTGGCAAGTGCAAGGTCATGAGTTCAATCCCTGGTACCAGAAATAATGTTTCCTACCCTCAAAGAGCCTCAAGGTTTTGTACAGTTCTTACCTGGGTTCATATGCTGCCAATACCATCGAAACAGGAGTGATGAGTTTATTGCCTATATAAGGTCCCAAAACCTTCTATGTCCTTGATTAATAATTATCCCTGCCTTCGGCCTCAAATAGTGAAGCCCCTTCTTGGCAGCAGCTTGGCATGCAGTGTTGCCTGGCTAATGTCCAGGAATCTTTGATCTGCTATCTTGCTGCCACTGATAGCCTATGTTTAACTTCTCCACCCACCCTCCATACCACTTGAGGGTGGGGCATTGGGAAAGTGTACCAGGAAGCAATGGCATTTCCAGAGCTCCCTGCCCATTGAGAGAACCAGCTCAGAGGAGAGAAGGTGCTAGAAGGCCCTGGTCCATGTGGCTTTCTTGCCCTGGCAGCAGTGAAACCTGCAGGCTTGCCTGAAGTGCTGTTTTTTGTCACATCTCCCACAACAATTAATCCAGTGTTTTCTTGTGTTTTATGGCTATTGGAGTTGGCATAATTACCATAATTCCTGGCATGTCTCGTTAGTCTGTCCTAAACCTAAGAGAACAGATATGATGCCCTGTTCTGATGTTTTCCACGAGCTGCCTACTTTGTCCATTACAGAAAGCAGCAAAAAAATTTTTTAAAGAAACAGATACAAGTTAAAGCTCGGACCATCCTTGTGTCCATTGTTTGTAACACATAATTCAAAGCCTCCCCTACCCTTCTCTGGTGTTGTGTCTAATCTTTCCTTCTGCCACCAGGTGTGACATCCTGACCCCATCATAGCTTCATTCCCAGATAAGCGCTGCCCTGGTGAATTCTGCTGTATCAGTGCTGACCTGCGTGACCTAGAGTATTACAGAGAGCTTGTGGGACCTTGGGAAATTCCAGCTGCACACTGTTACCACAACACCAAACAGGGTAACTTGCAGGACCCTGTGGATGACAGGGGAAAGAGATAATTTTATAAGGAAAGTTTTGAGCTGGAGTATTCATTGATTTAAGGCAATATCTTTAAAGTCTTTAGAGAAAATAAAAGTGCAATTTTGTATATTCTAGAGTTTAAGGAAAGTCAGTGTTTCTTAAAGCTATAGAAAATTCTGACTCACTCAGTGTAACTGGAGATTTGCAATTTCAGTTTTGGGCTAGTCATGTGGGTACCTGTTACTCAGATACCTCATGTTTTTTGGCTTGGCTGAGTTGAAGTGTCAGAAGGATCTAACAGACAGTATATCTTTTAATTTCTCCAAAGGAAATACTGAGTAAGTAGGGATTTAGAAAGAGATTTGCACACCCCCATTCGTAGCAGCATCATTCACAATAGCCAAAAGGTGGAGGCAATCCAAGTGTCTATTGATAGATAAATAGATAGACAAAATGTGATATTTACATACAATGGCCTGTTATTCAATCTTAATGAGGACTGAAATCCACTTACAGGCTACAACATGGATGAAGCTTGAGGACATTATGCTAAATGAAGGAAGCTAGTTACACAAGGACAGATGCTGTATGACTGCACACACACGAGGCACCTAAGGTGGTCGTATTCATAGAAAAAGAAAGTATGGTTGCTGACAGGGGCTGGGAATGGAGAAATTAGATAATTATTTACTGGGTACCGAGTTTTAGTTTTGCAAGGTAAAGTGAGTTTTATGAGTGAATGGTAGCAATTTTAACTAGACAGTGTACGTATGCTTAATGCAACTGGAAAGTAGGCTTACAAGTGGTTAGGACAGTACATTTTACCTTATTGTACTTTGCACAATTTTAAACAATGAAGCACTGAGAAAACAGAGGGTCTGACTATAATTGTTTTACAAACTGAAATGAGCATTAAAAATGATGTTGTATGGACTTCTTCTTTGATCAGATTTATACAGAGAAAAGTCTGAGTCACAGAAATTTTATGATGACTGAAATATAAATGTTATACATGGAACAAGCTGCATAAAAACGGGTCTGTATGAGACACTTCAAGGAAACTAAGCTAAGGTTCCAAATCCACAGTTGCTCCTGCCATCTGTGAAAACCAACGCCAGGTCTTCTGGGTACCTTGCCCGCAACTGAGGTCACCTCTCTCTTCAGACCTTTTCCTCTTCCACTTGTCCCATTTATCCGTGCTTTGGGTATCATCACTTGCCCTGTTGCTCACGCCTGACGTTTGAGCATCTTTCCTGGTTCTTGCCACCTCCCACATCTTAACAAAACTAACAAGGCCTCTCTGTCACAACCCTCCTTCCGACTTTTACATGAGGTCCAAAGTGGTACTTTTCACAATACACAAAAGGTGAGGATAACCCACATATCTATCAGGTGGTAAACGGGTGTCTATTGGTACAGTGCAATGCAATGAAAAGAATGAACTACCAGTCCCTGAGAGAACATGAGTTAATCTCAGGAACATGCTTCCTAAAAAAAGCCAGACACAAAATTACGTATCTTATTGTCATATTTATTTGAAATATCTACAAAAGGCAAATCTATAGAGAATAAAGGGAGATCCATGATAGTCTGAGCCTTGGTGGGAGCAGAGTGACAATGAAGTGCTTTTGGTGATGATGAAAATCTCCTAAAATGAGTAAGCAAACCTCAAGATTCACTTAATGATAATTGAATTGCACACTTAAAAATGAGCATTTTATTTGGAAAATAACAGACTTTTATGTGATTTGGAAAGGCGGAAAAGAATGGAAAAATGTGACTGCTGAAATCAAAAAAGAAGTTTTTTTTTTTTTTTTTTTTTTGTCTTTTTCATTTTTATCGGTAGCAGGAATTGAACTCATGACTGCACACTTGCAAGGCAGGTGCTTATGCTGCTGAGCTAAATCTCCAACCCCAAAAAAAGAAGTTTTAAACAATGTCTTTATACTAACAATATCTTTCACTTTACTTCTAAAGATTCTCCTCATTGGTCCCACTATTAATCTTCTCAGGCATTACCCAAGGTTAGCTCCCCCCCCCCTTTTCTTTTTATACTGAGGATTGAATCCAGGCAGCACTGAGCTAAATCCCCTTTTTATTTTCTTGAGGCAGTGTTTTGCTAAATTGCCTAGGCCAATCTTAAACTTGTGGTCCTCATGCATCAGCCTCCAGAGTAGCCAGAATTTCAGATATGTACCACCATGTCCAGCTGGGGTTAGCTGATCTGATTGTTCAACAATTATTTGAGCTCCTACTGTATGCCAGATACTGTCCTACATGCTTGAATCTCAAGATCTGTCGAGCTCCCTGGCCTGATGGGGCCTACATTCTCCCATGAGGATACTGTCACCTCTAGGGTGCTCTCCTGTGGTCGCATCCTAACTACTCCCAACCTCTGGCCCTGCTTCTCTCTGAAACCAGCGCAACCCTTCTAAAATGCAAATATAATCCAGTTCTTCTGCTAAAAAACACTTCCAATGGCTTCCACTGGCTTCTGGACAAACTTCAAACTCCTAACCAGGCCTGGACTAGACCTCCTGTCCAGGGCCTGTGAGGCCTTTGTGCCCAGGCTAGATCTGCCACTTGCTTCTTGCAGGTGTCTTTCCTTTCCTGCATCTCTCAGCTCTTTCTCTCTTCCATTCTTTTTGTTGGCCTTGCTCCCACTTAGCCTTGGGATCTCAGTATAGAGTCCTTTGGTAATTCCTCACTTCCCGTTAAAGGGCCCCAACTTGCCCAGTAGATTCCGATTATTACACAGTGCCCTGGCATTAGAGGTCCTCATAAAGTATGGCTTTTGAATGAACACCAGGAAAGACTAACTCTGTCATTCCAGAGAAAAACAGATGTGTCTGGCATTGATTTTTTTACTTACATGACGCCAGGTTCTCCTCCCTTAAAGGATAGAGTCACTCAGAGTTAGGAAGCGGGAGCTGAGTGTGCTATTTGTGTGAAGGCCACAGTAGGAAAGACAAGTTTCTCCAAAAAAGAAACATGGCAAAACCTTCTAGTTTAATTCCATTAGTAGATTAATGATAAATTAAAATATTCATATAATATCTAAAGCTCATTTGACTGAGAGAAACTAATGCATTTATTTATTTGTTTGTTTACTTTTTTGAGGCAGTCTCACTCTGCAGTTCTGGCTGGCCTTGAACTCACTATGTAGCCCAGACTGGACTCAAACTTGCAGTGATTTTCCTGTCTCTTCTACCCAAGTGCTGGGATTACAGGAGTGCATCATCTAATGTATTTTTAAAGAGAAACTTTTAAAAAATTTTATTCCTATTGTTGATAGAGAATATATTGCCTCAAATGTTTTGATCAAATTCTTTTTACTGTGCATCATTCTGTTCAAATTAGAGACAACAAAGAAAAGAAAGAAGAGAAATTGTGGGGCTAGGAGTGTAGCTCCATGCTGGAGAGCTTGACAGTAAGGTCTTGAGTGTGATCCTCAGCACTGCAAAATTATTAATTAGCTAGAAAATTAATTTTTTTTGTCTTTTTACTTTTTTGTCGGTACCGGGGATTGAACTCAGGACTGCCTGCTTGCAAGGCAGGCGCTTATGCCGCTAAGCTAAATCCCCAGCCCCTATAAAATTAATTTTTAAAAAGGATGCACTGCTTCTCTAACACATACCTCAGTGGGTTTTATTAGGGACAGAGACCAAATTGTATGAAGTTTTCTATTTGAATATTGACTTACTCCCCAAAGAAAATTCAGTTTTATTATTGTTTATTTTTAAAGTATATATAGTATTAATTTGTTAATAAAATATCATTTGCAGGGGTGGGGATTTAGCTCAGTGGCATAAGCGCCTGCCTTGCAAGTGCACGATCATGAGTTCGATCTCCGGTACTGATAAAAAAAAAAAAGAAAGAAAATATCGTAGTCTGTCTCATTGCCTCATTCAAAAAAAAAAAAAAAAAAAGACCCTCTCCAACTTTGCACAACTAAAGAATTAAAACATTTGCTCTTTGTTACTTTGATCAACAAATACCCCATTTCCGAAACATAAAAATGCCAACTAAGGTCATTTTTCCTTCTGCTGATTAAATAAGTTTATAGAAATAGCCTAGCCTCCCACCTGGATAACAAAAGAAAAGATGGGATGTAGGTGAGTGAAAGAAGTGGAGTTGGGTTTCCTAAGCCTCCCATGTTGCCTTTCGGCATTTCTGTCCCCAGCTCTTAGGTCTGTGGCTCCTTGGGTCTCCCGCAGACTCCTGCATTGCTGTCATGTAGTAGGGGTACAATACAGTCAGTTATCTCCACCTGAAAGCTTCTTTCACCATTACCCATTACCCTGTATAATTTTTAAAATACCCTGTAGGCCAGTAAGGACTTCCCTTGGGAGATCACCCATAGTTCTTCCTTCTGCTTCTGTAAACTTGTATCTTCCCCCCACCACCACCATTTTGTGCACATAAACAGTAAAAATACCTAAGTGTAACTGCTCCGAGGAAAGACAGTGTGGGTTGGGGAGTGTGCTGGGCTAGAAATAGCAGCCAAATAGTGGCACATTTGCTTCTTCACGTTGAGTTTAACTATTTCCTTTTTGTTTCTCTTGGGTTTTTTTTTTTTTTTTTTTTTTTTTACTATTTTTTAAATTTAAAAATGTTTTAATTGTAGTAAAAAACAACATAAAATGTATCACCTTCACCATTTTTACCTGTGCAGTTCAGTAGTGTTAGGTACGTGCATAGTGCTGTAAAACAGACCAGAGCTTTTCAATCCTGCAGAAGTGAAATTTTACACCATGGCATAGCTCCCCCTGCCCCAGTTTATTATTGCTTAAAAATGAAAAAGATGGGCTTCTCAATGTATCATATGTTATAAAGTCAAAGGTTTTCAATTTTCTTTTTTTAATGTAAGAGAACAGATACATGTTTTTCACAGTGATTACTTGCTATATTTCTCAGCATTATTTATCATTTCTTGTCTCTTGTGTGTTTTAAGATGAGTGATGGAGGAGATAGTTCATGCCCTTAACATTTTAGCAGCCTCCCTGACTCTCCCCATAACCCGGGATTAAGGGCGACTGTCCTGTGACTGTGGCAGCAGAAGCATTCTGCTCATCAGGAGCAGAGGACAAGTTTCCAGAAGCCTGTCCCCGCTCCGTCTGCCAACCTACCCCCCATACCCCACTGTCCAGCAGCCTGGACGCCCCACTCCTTGTTCTCATAGCTCACACCAGCTGCTGGGGCCTGCTTGGGTTGGCTCCAGTTTTCTGAAGTCTGGCAGTTAGTTAATAAGAAAACCAGGATGTAAATCACCGGCCCAGACAGTTTCCTCTGGGGAAACTTCTAAGTCCTGTCAGGTCTTTTCATTCCTCCACTTAGGAAAGAGACCAGTGCTCACTTCGGACACAACTATGAACACAGACCAGAGGTAAACAGGGTAGGTGTGGGTGGGGGAAGGGGCACCAAAGCCAGGTGTTTGGCACAGGCCAAGCGTTAGCCATTTTATGAAGAGGAGGGATAATATGATGGGGTTTTTTAAAAGTCAAATTCTTAATCTGGGAGTTTCATGTTTGGGAAGGGTTCTTTCTCACTTGATAATCAGTGATACAGAATGATCTTTTAAAGCATTATTCTGTGAACTTGGCAGTTTCAAAATCCAGGTGGGATGCTTAGTGTTGGCCCCATTCTTTATTGTGTATTGTATTAGCTGTGACCAAGACCCAATAAGAAAGAAAGATGTGATCTTAAACTGTAAGAACTTTACTGTCTGGTTATCCAAACCCAGAAATGTGTTTTCACAGTAGAGTAGGCTGACTGCTGGGCAGCCTGAGGACCAAAGTCAGGGCCCTAAAGTTTTTAAGAGAGTTAAACAAGAATATAAAGAAAAGCCCTCAGCAGAATGCTTGGGACACTGCTCAAAAAATGGAAGTAGTTCATAATAATAGTATCATTCAGATGGATTCTTCCCAAGAGTAGAGCTATCTGTGAGGACAGAGCATGCATAGGCATCCAGTAGTTTAGGATAAGCACCAGAAATGTAGTCTGAAAATGTAGAGGAAATGTCTAACAGAAATGAGGAACAATCTTGAAATGAATTAAACTTGCATAAACAAAGGGGGACAAGGAGGACAACATAGACTCGTAGAAAGGAGAAGATGGAGATCTTAATCCAATCACATCCATATGTGCTGTGTAGTGTGGGGTCCCAGATGAGGAACAAAGGTACGCTGGATCAGGAGAGGGGACTTTTGTTTTAATGGTACCTACAGCTTTACTAAAGATAAAATAGGGAAGAGCTCTGCAGGTGATTGAAGGATGTGGTTTTGAACCCTTGGCACAGAGAGAGAGAGATTCTTTTGTTTAAGGATCAGGGAAGTGTCTCCAGAAAGTAATACATGCTACAGGTCCAAGGAGGTCTATAAGCATTGCCACAGTAGACACTGGGGGTAGAGGGAAGCCAGGACATGCTTGCAAAAATGGTAATTACTCCACTCATTAAAAGTTCTTTGAAACTTGTCTTTATAATTGTACCAGTTAGAAGAGAACTAGGCAAATTTAAATGTTCTTTATAAGAGAGAGTCTTTGCTTATAGAAAATAGATACATAACTGTCCTCATAAAACAATCTAACCTGAAATGTACCTTGCTGATCTAGGTGGTAGCTTTGGAGTCAGACTTCTTTGATTCTTTGATTGGAGTCATTCTGTGCCCCTGTCACTGGTGGACCTTAGCAAGTTACTTAAAAGCTGAGCTTCGCTTTCTTTTCTAGAAAACCAGATTGATAATATAGCTACCTTGAGGTATTATTGTAAGAATGAGAAATACTATAAAGCCAGGGACATGATGTGTGGCTAACTAATCTCAGGAGCAAATAAATAGTGGCTATTAATTATTGTGACTTCTGGGTTGTAGCTCAGCTTTCTGAGCAAGTCCATGTTTGTCATTTCCACCATGAAGCAATGACAGCTAGCAGCCTATGGGATCCGCTCAGGGTTCTGTTATCTTCTTGCCTTTGGCCAAGACAAGCACAATTTGGATGCCTCCCAAAAGCACTGGTCGTAAGAACTTTAAAAGTACATTTTCTTCTACATCTTATCTTCTGGTTCCTAGGCAAGAACACTAAAGTATGTGAAATAACACTGACATCCGGCTTGGAGTAGCACAGTTTCCTGGACACCTACTGGGAGAATGCTGTGCCTGAAAACAAATAAACTGGAAAGTAAAGATGGACTTTTCCTCCGTGTGGAATCTATATGTAAAAGTATGAAATAAAACTTGTGATTTGAGGCAAGCAGAAGAGAACTTAGAAAATTACTCTGGAAAGAGTCACCATGATGGTTGATGACTAAAATTGTTTTAGAACCACATTGTTTACAGGTATTTAAAGAACAAAGGGAGGTGATTTTGCTTCTTTACGACAGCAATGTAAGACTGCCAAAAAAAGTCAACAAGAATTATGTTTAATTCTTCTGTTTCTCTTTTAAATGCCAAAGAAGCCAGTACTGCAAGACCAATGAAGCTGCCAACTGACTAGTGGAAAATTTTTATTTTCAAACAAAATATTAAGATTTACAGATGAAGATAAGGAGAATTTTTTAAAAACCTGGAGCACCAAATAAGGTTTAGCCCCTTTGAAGAACATGTACACATTCCATATCCTATTGTCTGAACCTTAGTAGCAATAAATCATTGAACTTGTCTGTACTTCAAAAGTCCTTATTAGTTTTACCTCATCAGCTTTGTTTTTACCTCTTAAAGTAATTGTTCCCCAAGCCCTTGGATTGTTCTTAATGCAACAATCATGGTAATGCTGATGATATTTAAATACCTAAATTATTTATGTTTTCAAGACTTCATACAGAGTCTTAGGGAAGAAAAACACTAGTTGGTAGGATCGGTATCTTGGTGCTATAAAGAAAATTAATTCGAGGTCTCTTTCAAAACACTTTAAGTTCTGTCACAATGCAAAATCTGAAATACCAAATCAGTGAGCAAGCTTTTTTTTAAAATAATGTTGGTTTTGTTCTTGATGTTTGCATTGCCACAAAATAGTCATTGTTGGTATCTTTGCTGAGTCGGGCAGGGAAGCAGTGCATCATAGGTTCCAAGCAGTGGAAAAACATGATCCTCTAGTTACTAAGACAGATTTCCATCTGCCATTTTTTTCATCTTGCACATCAGTTTGTAAGTTTTACCTGTCTCCTTTGCCAATTCTTCTCTCTCCTTATTTATCAGGATTCAGAGGCTTCAAAGCTGCCCTGCCTACCCTGCAGGCAAGACAGTGTCTTCCACTCCAGGTCGACTCTTGGTCTGGGATTTCTTACATTTTATCTCTCATCTCTTGCCCTGTCTTTCTGGTTGTCTCCTGCCCAGTCACCAGGCAGGTTCTCAGAGAGGGAAGTAGAACAATTGGTCCTCTGTGTCCCTGGAATCATCCAGTCACAGCTCAGAAGTGCAGTTAGGACAGTGACATTGAGTCCAAAATGGTCACGTACAAACTTTTCTTCTTGTCATCGTTCACTAAACAATACAACATACTAGCAATTTACATAATTCACATAGTATTTTGATCATATTAAGTATTCTAAAAAATCTATGGATGATTCAAAGTTTATGGGGGGGCTTTGTGTTAGATTATGTGCAAACACAGTATCACTTTATGGGCATCTGTGGATTCCAGAGTCTGCAGGTGAAGGCAAGGTCCTAGAACCAAACTCCATGACTGTATGCTGAGAACAGGAATTGCACTAATTCTGTGTTTAAATTGGTTATGCTTCTCTTTCCGTACACTTCCCTCAAATTGTTATCTTCATCTGTGTCTTAAAAAATATGAATATTTTTCTGGGGAAAAAAAGAGATTTATAGCTTCCATCAGAACATAGGGGATTATGTCCCAGAAAAGATTTTAGCTCTCAGGTCTTCAATTAAAATCCTCATTTGTCTCGACAGGAGAGAGCTCCTCCCCTTCTGCTCCAGCACAGCTTGAGCCCTAGGTAATGTCGTGCTCCATCCTGTCTGCCCTTGTGCCCTTTGTCTTCACACTGCCCTGTGTACATTCCTGCTGGGCACAAGGACAAACCAAGATTTGAGTGCCCTTCAGTTGAACCTATGTTGTTAAGGACCTGTCACTGCTGGGGTTTTACCTTGCAGGATCCTGGGCTGGCAGCACTCATTGTCACCTAGATCACAGCCCTTTTTCAAAGAGCCAGTGCCCTTCACATACCGTCCCCCAACCGGAAGGCTGCGGCCTCTGATGGGAGGTGGCAGCTCCTGGTCATTCATGTTAGCCCTTTTGAGAGCTTCAAGGTTGAAAAGGAAAAACACTTTCCTGTCGTCACTACCACAATCAGCTTCAGGCCTAGTGAGGTCATGTTTTCTGAATTGGATCTCAGCTTCTTCCTTTTACAAGTGATTTTTCAAAGTGGATTTTTTGCCCTGAAACTTGGCTTGATGACAGAAACTTAAATGGCTACCTGGAATGGAGGACTTGACAATAATTTGATAATCCCTATTCACCCCTATGCAAATTTACTGTTCATTTTATGTCAAGCACTGTTCTAAATGCCTGACGTGAAGCATTAGATCTAAAGCCCCAGCAACTCTGACGCACTTGCAGTGTTTGCTCCCTCTTCACAGATGTCACATATTCAGTGCCACAGACAGGACTCACTGTGTGCTGCTTCCCCAGCCTGTACTCAGAGCCCCGACACATCGCTGCCACGGGAACTGAAGCCCACTTTCTCATCAGGGCTCATGGTGTAGCTCAGGAGCCTGGCACCCCCCCATTCCCTTTATCCTTTACCTGCAGTCCTGAGACTTCTTCACTGTGCAGAACTGATCGAGACACTGATATAAATGTCTCAGTATTTCTCTTTGCCTATGAGATAGTCTGAATCCTGAAAGTGTCCTCAAAGGCCATCCTCTTCCATCATCTGCTTATTGTGCACATCTGTTGCCACCCAAGAGCACCCCAGAAGTGGTACCTGCAGTAACCAATTGCCCTGTGCTATATGATACTGTGGGACCTGTGATACTTCTTTGAACTCCTCCTTCCCTGCTCTCGCACCTCCTTCAGGAGTGGTCTCAAACATTGCCAGCATATCCTTTTCTGACATGGACAACTCCTCCTCCGCTTGCTACCAGGATGCAGAACTATTCATCTGAATCATCATAGATAGCTTCCATTTTTGAGTTCTCATGCACCAGGCAGAGCTGAGTCACACCCTGAACCACAGGCACAATTATGGGAGAAATGTAACCATTTCTCCTTTTTAAAAAAACTAATCTTAATTTCTATTTTAAGGTCTCATTCAGTGAGGAGACAAACTTGTGAGGCAGTTCAAGGTTTCCTCCAGCTCCTAGCGTTGCAAGTGAGTTTGTAAGAAGTGTAAGAGGCTTGGACAGAGTCCAGAGTGGGGAGTGTGTGTGTGTGTGTGTGTTAGTGGGGGCAGGTGAAATTGCACCTTTGGTTTCCATGTTACCATCTTTCCATGCCAGTGTTTGGTTGGTGTCTGTTCACTCCCAGCTGGGATGGTGGCACCTCTTACCGTCTTGGCTCCAGTAGATACATTCTGCCCTTCCTGAACCACCCTGGGTGGGAGGATTAGTGGAAAGCATGAGGCTCTTTCCAGCCCAGGTGCACTGTGCAGACACTGGTTTGACTCTCAGACCACGCTTTTTAGACTTGCTGGGTTGCGCCTGCCTGCCCCCTATCTCAAGCCTTTGTGAAAACCTCACTGAGGACTCAGCATTGTTCCAAGCTCCTAAAGCCCCTTCTTCTCCCTCAGACTCTCCTACCTCTTCACTTTAGTCACTAGAAATGATAATGGCTTTGGGTAGAAAGACTGGCTCGAATTGAGTATGTTTCATCTTCCTCCTCGAGCTGATCGTCTCTGTGCTGAGTCCTGATGAGTCATCCCTTCCTGATCAGTGGATGATACCAGCAGGGGGAAAACGAGGCTCTCAGGAATTGAATGGAGGGAATAAGAGTAGCCAGTGTTTCACTACCACCTCCCTCAAACACACACACCCAATGATTATCCAATATAATCTCCTTGATAGCCACCTTTGGGAGGCATAACTGTGCTTATTTTACAGAGGAAGAACTGATGTATAGTGAGATCAATCTGCCTTACCCTCAGCTGACAAGCTGTTGAATCTAGGGCAGTCTTTTCACTGTCCCACTTCTGTGAAAATCTGAATTTCTGCTAAACTGAGCTCCCTCGTGGTAGGGTTGGACCTCAGTGCTTGGCACATGGCAGGTGAGCGATAGTTGGTAGCTGAATTGAACTGGGTCAGGGAGATAGAAAGGAAGATAAGGAAGAGAAAAATAATGAATGGGAAAATTCCCTTCTTTTAAGCCTGTCTGAAACTCCCTGAATTGTATTCTGTCACCTGAAATTGAAGGTTTGTTGGTATAATTAAATAATACATAAAATATTTTTCTTACCTTTTTCTGTCAAATAACTTTAGGCATAGACATCAATTCCTTGTATCTAGAAAAGGGTATAAAGTGGCTGGTGAGCTAGCAATGCCTAGTGCGCGCAAGGTGCATATATGAGCAGTGGCTTTGCTTCTGGAGATTCCTGTCAGTGCAGTCCTGGCTGGCTTTTGTTTACTTTCTAGGCATGGTCATCCAAGACACTGGTAGTATATAAATCTGAGAAGTTGTGGAATTCCACACTTTTCTATTAAATTTTTGCTTAAAATCACGTCTTATATATTGCATAAGCAGCTCTGATAACAAATATCTTTTAGGCTATGAACATAGGAGAAGGGTAAAGGTTAAGACCTTTATGACACACCCAAGTTACAATCAAGGCAGGTTTACTGACCTGTATTTTTTTCTTTTGCAAACATCTATCTACATATATTTTAAGTTTTTTATTTGACATTGTAATAGATGCTATAATATAAAATAAATAAAATGCTAAAGTTAATCATTTCTCTCATAAACCTCTCCCAAGCAATGGATATTAACAGCCTGGTGTACATTCTTCCTTTTTCACGTGACCGATGTGTACAGCCGGCTTTTCCCTGTTGTGTTTTTATCTCAGAAATCCTTTTTACTCAGTAGCTAACATCCCTTATTCTTTCCCCTTCATTCTTCCTTCCTCTTTTGTTTCATGTTTCTCTCTTTCATTTGTCTATTTTTCATTGTCCATTTTTTCCTCTTTTTTCCACGTTAGCCTTGGAGTACCAGAAAATGAATCCATTTTCAAGCCATGCCAGTTCTGTCTGTTTCAGCTGTTGGCTTTGTTCTTGGATTATTTTATATCCCAGCATAAGAAAGCAAGACAGAAAAGATAGACAAAAGTAAAATATTCAATTAATCAAAGTTAATTTATTTAGCTAAACTATTTCAGAAATCAATACTTTTTAAGTCATTGGAGAAAAAAAGTTTTTTTGTAAAAGGAATCAAACATTGAAATTATTATTATTATTATTATTATTATTATTATTATTATTATTATTTGTCTTTTTCTTTTTTACCGGTACCAGGGATCGAACTCACGACCGCACACTTGCAAGGCAGGCGCTTATGCCGCTGAGCTAAATCCCCAGCCCCAAACATTGAAATTTTATGTTTTGGTGTTTTTTTTGTTTTTTTGTTTTTTTTTGGTTCAGGCTGCCCTCAAACTCAGTATGTAGCCAGGCTGGCCTCAGAATTGTGGTGATCCTTCTGCTTCAGCCTTTCAGTGATA